CCAAATGGGCGGCCAAAAGACAGCATCCAAAACCGGTGCACGAAAGTGTATGGTTAATGGTTGTAAAAACTGAAACTGAAAACTGAAGGTCGATATCATAAAGCGTAACTTGACTCGACTATATCCACGAACCAGGTTATAGCCCCGGATGTTAGTTTTACATCCTCTTGCCTTGGTATGAAAACATTACCACAGGAAGGCATTTAGTCGGGCTTCCTCGGCGGAGGTTATTTGGGACGCTTGGTCGTATGGAAGCATTTCGTGAGGTGCAAGGGGAGGGTGACCAGCCAAAACTCAAGACACCTACTCCCTACAAGCATTTTTGAGGAGAGAACAGTGATATACTCAGCTGAGCGGCACCTAACTGATTTCAGAACTTCCAGAAAATTGTTCCATCGTTACGAAGGTCATCACAACATTTGCTGTGGCACAAAGTGGCACATCTTCGAACACTGCCGCTGATCGTCCGCGACCGCTTATTCGGAGGGCCGAAGCCCACCTTATTGACGGTTATCCGCGAGATGACGGCCGTTCGCCTATCCGCGACCTGGGGACGCGCTCAGTAGCACACAGCTCTGCTCTCCCGAGACGAGGGCTATTCCCAGCATCATTCAAGTTTTTCCTGGACCGCTAAACTCTGGCCTTCACGCAACTAAGTGCGGACTGCAGAACAGTAGTGTGTTAAAACAGGGTTACCAGTGTCTCCCAAGACTCATTTTTCACTCGCTAGATGTGAACGCAGCTTGGGGATCCATTCACTCATGTTAGCATGGGAAGTTTTCTTTATGGTCGGATTAGGTGGTAGATCTCGTCTTCCCGCCAAGGAGGATTTGTCTTCACATGCCTTGTATCATCTCTGTGTATTTTTAGATGTCAATTATCATCAACCTCGTTTAACTTAACCGTTGAGGGATTTCTTGGAGTAACAGATTAGGGTTGAGCTAATGGCGAAAACCAAAGAGGTCTTGGCGGGTACTCACACGGACACTATCAGCTCAAATGGAGCAAAGCTGTATGCTATCTGTTGCGTCATTAGGGAATCAGCCACAAAGTCGACAACAAGGAATGGCTCAGACTCACTACATAATCAACCACAGCCTGACAGCGACAATACCTGAGGAAGTTTTGGAGTTTTGCTTTGTAAACACTATAAAGTGCCACAAATCTAACGAATGGTACTGTGATGTGGCCAATGTCACCTGCCGCAAGGTTAACTTTTGAGGTGCTACTCCAGTTAGGGATGTTCCTTACACCCAGTGACAAAGTGTTATATTACATCACAATTCAATCGAGTCGTACACGTAGGAATATTGTTGGAAAGCATCGCCTGACTCTATCTTCCTCTCGCTCTCCCATACCATTGTCATTCAGCCTGTCGCATCACAAGTAGACCATGATGATAACTACGTTGCATACCAGTTCGAGGATACACCTAAAATGTCCTCCTATTTGGTCGCGTTTGCCATTGGTGAGATGGAGTTTGTGGAAGTGAGTCTATTCATTCTATGCTAGTTACTTGATCTTTCAAATTCTCATGAATAACTTTCGTCTGCAATTACCGATCATTGGAATTGGCCAAATTAGCAAAAACAGTTCTCGAGATAATCTTTTTACAATCCTTTTATTACATAAACCATAGATTGTTCATAGCGGTATCAGGGAAACTTTTTCATCTTCGTAGTGCGTGTACATTCGATAAGGCTGTTTGACTCACTGTATCTCATTCAATCTATCTCCAAAAGGCTCGTGACAGCAACAGTGTACTCGTTCGGGTATACTCGCGGCCAGGATTTGTTTCTCAGCGTGGCCAAGGAGAGTTTGCTCTGGCTACAGCGTGTCGAAGTCTGCCATTTTTTGGCGAATACTTCGGAACGAAATACCCATTACCCAAGCTGGATATGTTGGCTGTTCCAGATTTTGCTGGGGGAGCGATGGAGAACTGGGGTTTAGTTACATTCCGGTAAGATGTTCTGTTTTACATGATCAAATTTCAGCGATTTATATTCTTTTTTTACACACCTACTTGTGATGAAAAGCAGACTGGACGAACCCCATAGTCACGAGAATCTGCTGTTCTGTGGTGGAAACCGGCAACCTAAGCCCCGAGACTTGGAGTGGCGAACCACATAAAGCCCCGATAGGTTAGGCATAGTGTTGAACCAGACGACAGCATTGCTGCTAACCACCAAAATCGGGTGTCGGTAGCGGGGCTCGGACCATAGGGTCCAAAGCACGCTGGTGACAGCGACTAAACCACTGCTCCACCACCACCCTGCATTTTGGCGTAATTTCTCTTTTTCTATTTAAATAATTTGATCGGATGAGATTACTTTGTACATTTCTGGGATGAGTTTTGATGTGACTTTTTGAATTCTCAGAGTAAATGATAAAATAGGTCAAACCTTTTCCGATGAGGTGGAATCCCATTATGAAACAGATTTCTGCTCTTATTCCATGATTTGATGCAGACGTGCCTTACAGCTTGAATTCAGGGGAGGGGGTGGGGTTGGCAAACGTTATCGTGAACTACCATGAATTTGCGCTGTGTTGCGTGAAACTACACCAACTACGGCATTTCAGATAATTCCATTAGGCAGTATTGGTAATCCCTCACCAAACACAATCTGGAAGCACACAGACCCGTGAATTCATCTGTGTCTGTCGTTGGCTAATGTCCAAGGTATGAATTCATTTGACGTAATTTTCCTGTTATAGTTTTCATTTTTGGTAGCTAGAATGCATGGAGTTTCACAGTTAACGGAAGGGAATTCACTTCATTACACCGAAAAGTGTCGTTCGTACTGCCTCACTATGCTAGTATTTTTCCTCAAATGGACGCGCACTGAAGTAGACTGAAGAATCGCTGAATCTTTTTTGGTTTAGTTCAGTAGTGATAAAACCAACTTTAACAACAGCCAAAAAAGTGAGCAGCAAAATATGTGGATCAGTTGTCAAATGCAACCAAAATTGAAATCAACCGATTGGAATTCAGAAAAGAGCGTAGATTGTCCGAACGGACCAAACAGAACCGTCGGCTCCCAGTTGTCTTCGGTTAGCCCTGTAATAGGATCGTCGTGGTGAAGTTAATATCCCTGGCATACCCTTCAAGGAAAGGTAGCGCCAGAGGATAATGCTGTCGTCTTAGCGGAAGGCCTCTTTTGAATCAAGCAAGATAGAAACTGTCGAAAGAATATCTGTTTCTGAATTTCGTGGAGGATGAGAATCAGATTAAAGTAACCGCAAATAGGTTGGAAACCTGTGTGATTCTTGCGCATGTACCGTTCACATGCGGTAGATCATCGACGTATGATGTCACCAAGAAACTTGGAAAAGATATTAATCAAACTAACTCCGCTGTAATTTTCTGAACGCCATTTATCCCGTTCCTTGTAAATCAGTAAAATGACGGAATCACACCATGCACCTGGGACTGGTTTATTTTTCACATAAGATTTATTAACTCTAGGGCTAAAACAGTTTTATATTGGTAAAATCCGATGGGTACAAAAATTGAGCTGGAAATCTTACACCTTTGAGTCAACTCTTTCGAGTGGTGTCTGTTTCAGATAGAGAACCGGTATCAAATCCCAAGGCTGTTCCAACTAGCAGCTGTCTTTCACTCAGACCGTTGCACCTTAGCACCGTCGTCACCACATTTCTGTGCTCGCGAGCACATGAAACTCGGTGTTTCGTTCATGCCTAATCCCCACCCATTCTAGGATATCTGTTCAGGTGAACGGACGACGGAACATTTTGACCGAAAGAATAAAACATGAAATTATCCGATTGATATTTAATGCCATTCGCTGTAAGAACGTTTGAAATGGAGTTTGGATTAGCGGTTCAACGGGCACTCAGAAAAAACTTGTTACGGAAATGCACAAAGTATTAGG